TAAGATAGAGGTAGACCTAAAAAGACTTGGGCTTGTAGTATAAAGAATGATCTAAATTTAGTAGAATTAAATGAAAATATGACACTCAGTAGGACACAATGGTAAAAAATGATTTATGTAGCCGACCTTACTTAGTGGGATAAAAACTTGTTGTCGTTGTTTTTTGTTGTGTTATAACTCCCATAACTTCATTTATTTCTCCTAAGAACCAAAAAATGGCAAAGATATGGAACATATTTGAAGATCCCAAGCTTAATTGTTATAGACATTTTGAAAAAGGATGTTGATGTAGTTCCCCGTATTTAGGAGAATGTTGTCAACTAGATAATTCACGATCAACATAGTGGCAATTATCATATCATTTTATAGACTTTCACTGGTAGGTAGGTCCTCGATAGTGAAGGCAATGGGTGGTTGACTAGCTGACTGCTGTCATGATGAGCTCGTCAAGATAACATATCTTGAGTGGAGTCTTGAAGGCTTAATTGGTGAGATACTTCTTGTTCATTCCCACCAAAAAAAGGCAAAAACTACACCTGTTATGTGGATTTCCATGGCCACTATCAATTCAATGGGGGTTTTAGTTTGCCTTTTTTCTCTTCATGCTTTGTGGGAGTTGAACGGCATCTTTTGGATCGTATGTAACAACCCCATCCACTAAGGCAGAGGGTGAGATCCTCGTCCTTCCAGTTGTGAGTACTCTTCTCTAGCATCTCGTTGATTCTAGGAATGGGTGAGTGATTGTTTCATTGGGGCCACTTTAAGCAGTTGTTCTAGTGTCTTAATTGTTAATGTCATCATTTACTCTTTTAGCTTGTTGATTTGTACTGTCTCAAATTCTCTAGGGTAAATCATGTTAATAGTAATCTCCGTATTACTTGATTCTGCTCTTTGTGGGACTCATTTTTTATATGTGGTACGATCCACACTCACTGTTTCTTCTAAGATGTTAAACCATATTTTGTCTGTGAATTCACACCACTAAAGAAAGGTGTAAAATTAGGAGGAATTTGAGATAAGGAATTGCATGAGACAATGGAGAAAGATTGATCATAATAGTATCTAAGGCATGATTTCTTATATTGCAATATCTCTCATTTTCATAAAGGTTTGTTTATGCATTACAAATCAAATACGCATTACACTTGGGTCTCTAGAGATTCTTGAATTATCTCTTTATCTTCTTCTAACAAGGGAATTGTATTTTATATCATCCTTATCTCTCTGTATATATAATTATTTTTTATAAAATATATTTCCTAAAGTGTAGCTTGTTGATGGCACATCTATCGACCAACTCAGCCACGGAGCGAGTTGAACTCCTGAGGCGAATTGATCTCATAGAGTCCTGTCAACTCAACCTTGAGGCAAATTGGGGTTTTCTGGCAAGTCGTTAGCCTGCCTAAATCTAATTTAACATTTGTGCATGATCATTGTAGGAGAGTTGTTTGTCGTAACTCCATGGTTTGGTTGATCCTCAATTAAATTATTCTAGTCAAACTATCTAGGCTGCTCGGTGAGGTAACCCCCTTACTATCTTTTCGGCTCGTTGAACCATCTCTGTTGATGCTTGACCCATTATAAACCAGTTCCATGTACTTTTAGCTATAGAACTGTGTGATTTTGCTGCTGAATGGAAACATAAAATTAGCAATGAAAGTGATTCAATAAAAATAACACAATTATATTACAATCATAATCAACGTCCGGATACTTTCCAATGGCTCGACTCCTCTTAATTATCAATCATAAGATGCATATTGGACACATTTTTATATGAGTTAGCATATTTTAATATTATCTCATTGGAAAAACATCTATCCCATGTTTACAAATTATCTTAAGATAATTCAATCAATAATCATTGAGAAGGATCATTCAATCATGTTGGGTCAACTATCATTTCTAAGTAGATTAAGGTCCAAGACAAACTGAGATGATGGAATCACAATACCTTGATAGCATTGATCATTATTCCCCTAATTATCGGCTCGAAACAATAAGTGATGAATTTTTACAATCTAAAATGACACCACTACCACTAAATGTGAAACACAACATCTAATGTCAAACCTTAAATGGAAAGTCTTGATGGGAATAATTAATCATAAGGGCTTATGTCTATGAGAAATTTGAATTCAAAACATAAAATTGAGCAAAAACTTTGGGTAATTTTTCAATTAAAATCTAATCTAATTTCTGAAAATTTAACCAGGAATAAAAAAAAAAAAAAAAAAAAAACCCCCTTTAGGGGGGTCCCACAAGAAACAAACCTCTTACAAAACTCAGCAATGGTATATTTATAAATTTTTCTGCCCTAATCATTTTATATCATAGGCTTAATGATATATCCTCAATATGATAGATCCTTCAAATAAACCAATTTTCTCAATTATTAATGAATAATCAAAATGTATTCTACTAGAAGGCTAACAAAAGAAAAAGGTTTTAGAGTGGTATTAAAAAAACTAATTGTGATTTTGATAAAGATCATTATTTTTTAATATATATTTCAGTCATCACATATAAGGTGAAGTATATTTAGTACTTCATATGCCAAGATAATAAATTCTTCATACTGGCAAAAAAAGTTAATCTATTTCAGTTTACCTCAATAATTTTGCATGCTCTTCAGAAGCTTTTAATTCAAAATTATGTTCTTTAGTCTCAGAAAAAAGCTTCTGTGCCTGCTCAATCAGCCGAATTTGTGGACCTTGGAGTGGAGATCCTTTGCTAGCCATAGGATTCTTTTCAAAATCCCATGATTCTTTCAACAAAAGAAAAGCAACATCCTGCATAGAAAGAGCGTTGAATTAATTTTCCAAAAAAGGTGCACTCAAAATATAGAGCACAATACACCAAACCCTTATAACTAATAAGAAATACAAATACGCCTCTTAACAAACATTATCTAAGCTCTCAGTAAATTCTAATTTTCATTTCTCATGCAAATACTGCATGGAAGTTTAAAACTTATTATTTTATTAAGTTAATTATAGTAGTGAATGATGCAACGTAGATGTAAACAAGGATTAATCAACAAGGTGCATTATTTAATTATACAATTGGTTCATTATAAATAACTAATAAGAAATCCTGCATAGAAAGTTGCATTATAAAATTATAACTAATAAGAAATACTGCATGGAAGTTTAGAGATGACGTGCTCAGTTAGTCGCTAGATGGAAGCTTGGCCACCAGGTATATATTTGGAAAATAACATGAGCTGTTTGAAGGAGGGGAGAATAGGAAAATAACAGTAGTTGTCTGCGCTCAATTTAATCACTTGATGGAAGCTTGGCCAGCAGATTATGGAAATATGATGAAGATATGTCAGGAACGAGGAGGGGGAAAATAATTGTAGGTAGAAGGGACTGGGAGGAGGAAGGTGGTGACGAGGTTAAAGGCAACATCTCTATCCAATTATGCTAAAGAGAGAAGAAGAATTGGATACATAGGAGAAACAATCATTTCCATTCAATACGCATGAAGTTCATTCATCTTTATATCATGAACCTATTTACAGGAATAAGATTAATAATATATTGAACAAGAAAATCAAACTAACCAAGATATGACAAACGAGTCTGAATGGCGTTAATGACATGAATTTAAAATAAACTAAAAAGAAAAGATTAACTCAAAAATAAAAAATCTAACGAAATGAACATGAAATGAACTAAGCTCTCGTCATATATTTGGAGGTAATATGGTATCTAATGCTCCTACAACAAAAATTAACTCCAATAATGTGCTCCTAAATTTGTAGACAAGAAGAATTCAACAATACTGCAGCAAAGAAGTAGGCCGAATATCCTATATATACCCAATTTTTGCAAAGTACGCCGAATTAGCCAATTCAGGTAAACATTTTAATACTTTAAAATATACCCAATTTTTGCATCTCCCCAAAATATATATATGTATATATAGGCTTTATATATATATATATATTTGTGTGTGTGTGTCACGACCTGGCCCAGGATTAGGAATTAGATGAGAACAGATAGTCAAAAAGTGAAAACTAAGTTTGCTATATTCAATTGTTATTTAACACATGAAAATATCACTAATCAAATTAACATAAAACAGTAAAATAAAATTTATTTCCTTATTGATTTCCTGCATATTATTTAAATATTTTCACTTCTATCGCACATCTTTTAATTATTTCATTAAACTTGAAAAGTTAGTTCAAATCAATGACGAGTTAAACAAGTCAATGAATACTTATACTCCTATACTATAATAATACAAATGAAAAAAACAATATGAATGTCAATTAAACTTTTAATAAATCACTATAAACATTTTAAATGATATTCAATGAATCTTATTATATCAATAGCATATTAATATCATTTTTCATATATGTGCACGGGTACCAGCAAGAGGTGACTCCATCGTAGTCAAGCATGCACATGCAAACATAATATATAAAAATATTACTTTTTTAACAATAAATAATTCATTCTCATTTACATAGCAATCAATATTATTTTATAAGATTCAATGATAATTTAAACAAGCCTGAGCATAGAGGTCATTTTTACAAAATAAACAAAATTCAATAGAAGCATAAATCATATATATGAGATACCATAACAATAACAATAAATGTATTTGATCGAAAAAAAGTAAAATATTATCATAGTATAAGAGCATGAGTACTCACCTCGATGTTGATTAAATTATTATTTGATTTGTCTTGGCGTCAATTCTTCTAAATTAAAAACCTAGCATAAATATGATATTAATATTACCAAATTTTAATTAATTTATTATATATATAAATAAATTTAATAATTTATATTAATTATTTACTCTATAATATTTAAGTACTAATTTTTTCATTATTTTAATTTGTATAATTTTGCTTATTTTTTGTCAATAATTATTATTATTATTATTATTATTATTATTATTATTATTATTATTATTATTTTCACTTAATAAAAAATCAACCTTGCCTCATTCTATCGCACGAGGGAACTCCCTTTATCTTCCTTGACGACAGGCTACGACTCTGTCGAATATGATAGAGAATACCGCACAATGCTCCCCTCCTATTCTCTGCACAAAGTTTCTCTTCTAAATGCTCCTTCCTTCACAGAGCAACAAACTCCCTCCCTCCCTCCCGAAGTCTCTTCCATCTCACGAATCGCTCGTCGTCCTCCCTTTCCCACGATACGGGAACTCTGGCTTCAGCTCCCTCACGACCAACCTCGCGGCTCAACGCAGCAATGCTATGATCTTCTTCTTCACTCGAGCACAGCGCATGAGGCAGCTGCATCTCTGCTTCGGGTAAGAAGACAGGTGATGTTCTACTTCTTCCTCTACTGTCAAATCGCACGCACGAGAGCTCCCGCTTCTCCAGTTAATATATAGGGCAAACTCATATGCAGGCTTCTGATCCCCTCATTTCCTCTTCCCGACTATCTCCAATTTCTTCACCTATCTGAATCTCTCGATTCATCTCCTCTTTGCTTGACTCGCCTATATTACTTCAATTTTCTCATATCCTCTCCTTGATTACAGAAAAAGGGACATTACAGTATTCCCCACTTACCAAAATTTCATTCTCAAATTAAAAAACAGATCTCAAGTCATATCTCATTAAGCAGGTCAATATTATATATTCATTCTATTTAACTCCCTTCTTCTACAATTTCAGGTGTAGCTTTCTACCTGAATGAATAATAAATACAAATTTGCGTTAACTTTAATTTTTATTAAAATTTTCTTATAATTATTCTATTAGCGCTTTCAACTAGATTTTATTAATTAAATCTAAACCTTGTGCTCTGATATCACTTTTATCACCACTTGGTCTGAGATTTAGAATTAGCCAAGACAAAAACAGATAGTCGGACGATGTGAAATAAGCTTTCTATATTTATTTATTATTTAACAAAAGAAAATAATATGCACATCAGTCAAGCTTTTAATAAATCACTATAAATATTTTTTATGTTATTCAATGAATCATACGGTATTAATAGTATACCAATGTCATTCTATGTATGTGCAACCGTCACAGGAGCATTGTCTTAAAATTCTATCACTTAAGATACTTCAATATCAATATTTTTTTTCATGTACGTGTACGAGTACCTTAATTTTCTCACTAGTACTATCAAAGAGTAACTCCATCATAATCAAACATACATATACAAGCATACTACACAAAGATGTTGCATTTTTAATAATAAATATTTTATTTTTATTTGCATATTAGTTAATATTATTGTACAAGTCTAAATAAAAATTTAAACAAAGCTGGGCACATATGTTAATTTTATAATATGAACAAAATACAATAGAACCATAAATCATGTGTATGTGGTATTATAACAATAACAATAAATGCATTCGAATGAGAAGAAACAACATTTAATCATTATATAACAACATGAGTACTCATATAGATGTCGATTAATTTGATATTTGATTTGTCTTCACGTCTATTCTTCTAAATTATAAACCTAGCATAAATATGATATTTATATTACCAAACTTTAATTTACTTATTATATATATAAGTTTAATAATTTCTATTAGTTATTAACTTTACCGTATTAGCTTTGATTTGCCTTCACGTCTATTTGACAATCTTTTTGAATGAAATTGCACTTTAAAGAAATGTATTTTTTATGTTTTTCTTGCATGTGTAACATGTATTTGGAGTAGGACGAAGCGGAAGAAACATAGAACAAAAATGAGGAGATTTGGAGCAAAAAGAAGTTTATGAAGGCTGGGGCCATGGCGCCAAGTACTGGGCGCCCAAACACCAGCAAAGCTTAGAACCCGAGAGATTGGCGTCAAGATGCCAACCACTAGGCATCAGGGCGCCAACCACTAGGGACCAGAGTGCCGACCACTGGGCGCCATGGCCCCAGATCTGAAGGCCAAGGCCATGGCGCCAGATCAATGTGGCGTCTATGCACTAGTCAAGTAAAATGCAACCCGAGAGGTTGGCGCTTATAGGCACCAACCACTGGGGCGCCATGGCCCCAGTCCTGAAGGTAAAGGCCATGGCATCATAATGGAGTGGCACCTAGGCACTAGTACCCAAATCTGGACGGATCAAAAAAATTTTAAGGTGGTTTTTAGAGTAATTTGGAGGGGATTAAAAAGGAAATGGAAAGAACTCGAAGGGGACAAGGAGTCGAACGTGGTGATTTCTAGAGTGCGTTAGAGTGTTTAGAAGGGATTTTCCTCTGCTGTTTGTAGTGTTCTAGGCTTGTTCTAAGCAAGTCTAGGGGTGCAAGTTGTGTTGTGCAAAAAGTTGCAAGAGAAGAGCAAGGGCTTGGGTGGAGCATTCACAATGCAAATTGAGGAAAAGAGAAGTATATTTGTGATTTGGAATTGTAGATTTCTGAAACACATTGTATGTTGAACCTCTTTGTTTCAATGCATTATGGTGTTGTATCATCAATGTATTCTGAGTACATTTCTTTGCATTTCCTTGTGGTGATGTAGTAGATGGGTAGAAATGTGGACAACATGCTGAAACCGTTTTTATTGTATAACTGTGATGATTTCTTTCTGAACTTAGTTTACTTTTCAACCTGACCAATTGAACTGTTAAAATGTGTCGTGAAACCGTAAGAACTCAAAAGAGCTACGACATGAACAACTAGGAAAATCACATTGAACTATAGGGTATGAATTAAAGTACACTATAGGGAGATGCAAATAAATAGGAAGATTATTTCATTGGGTTCAATGTGAGACTTAAGGAATTAATGTCACTTTAACCAATCTTCATTATACGCTCAGAAGAGGGTAAAAAAGATCTATACTTCTATTTGTCACAAAACTTTATCTCCTTTCGCATTTCTTCCACATGCACGATACTATAATCACTCCAAGAAAAAGTAGTCTTAACACTTGACAAAACCAATTCACATAGTGTAGTTAGAAATTTTGTAGCTGTAACTTTAGATAATTGCAGTACATTTGTTAGTAAAACTCAAGTATTTCAATATTCCAAACTTTGGCTTCCCATAATTTCCCGTGGGTTCGACATTCCGGACTCTTTAGAGCCCTATATTACAAAAGTAATATGTGCACATGCGTGAGCAACCCGAGTAATTAGGATAAAATTTGAATCTAAATGAGTAACTTGGACAGTTTAAGCTTTTCAACATTGTGCCGGAAGATTGAATTATTGTGTTAGTTGTTGGGGTGATGTTCCAATCAAAAATCATGTTGGAATATCTTTATTTAAAATTTTGTTATTCAATCCAAGAGTGTTTTGTCTTGAAGTTACCAAGATAGAATGTTTTCATCATAACATTCGCAAAATTTCAATAATTTATTGAAATATGATGTTGTAAATTAGAGGAAGGATAAATTTTCGATCTTGATAAGGGTTTAGTCCCCAGTCAGGTGATAAATATGATTTTGTATAGCGCATTTACTATACAATATATCTTGTTTAGCTTCATTGAAGCTACGGTGTATGTTTACACACATTAATTAGATTAATTTTTTTTTTCATAAACCTCACACTGAGATGCGATTCATTAGGGAATGCAAGTCTTCCCATATAATGTTCTGCTAGAAATGTTGTAGTCGTAATATGGCTATGTTCCAAATTGAATTCTAGAATATTTTCTTGTACCTTTTTGGTAATATAAGAAGTTTCAGTAATTGAAGAAGTTAATGCTTCTTTCATGAATTTTTCCTCTGTAGGAGCAGCAGTAGAAGGTTCTCCTACTTCATTCTTTGGTGAAATACCAAAAAGGTATTCACGGAGGTCAATTTGACCCTTAAGAATTAAATTGTCGCTTTGATGTCTGCGACTTCTTGATCTGCTACCTCCACTCCCTCCCAGTAAAGATGGAGCCCGAGATTCAGAGGGCTCCATTGGAGTTGTCCTCTCTAGGCTCATGCAGCTTTGTTAATCCCTGCAAAAATTCATGAGTTAGAAAATCAGGTATTTAATTGGACTCGCTAGAGTAAAATTCAATATCAAAATAAAAAAGAAGATAAGTGGGCTTACCAATGAGCAAATATTTATTTAGATGCTAAATTTTAGACATCCTTTTGAATAATGTGTTTTAATATAGAGCAGCCAATACGTAATTAAAATTTTTGATTTAAAAGATGTCTTAAAATTTTGAAATGCATTTTAATATTGAAAACATTTTTTTTTAGTAATGAAATATTTGGTTTGTGGGATATTCAATTGTCCCGAAGTAAATCGAACCAATTCTTCTTTTGAAGAATTAATTTGTTTTAGGATACATAAGTATCCTGTATTAGAAGCATTTGTTTCAATTATTTTGAAATTAGTAAATTTTGCCAAATTTAGGCAAGCAAGATTTTGGACTCTTTGTTTAATGAATCTAACAATGTTAGTATAGACATCTGTCCATATAAGAAGGTTTTTCTTTAAACGATCAAATAAAAGGGGTTACATTTTTAGCCAGATTTTAATAAAAATTTAAAGCATAATTTAACGCTCCTAAAAATCTTTGTAGTTGTTTTTTATCCTGAATTATATCAAGAAATTTGTTAGCAAATTCTACAATTCTATTTATAGGAGTAATAGAAGTATTTGAAATATTATGTCTAAGGAATCTAATATTCTTTTGGAATAATTTCATTTTAGTTGATGATACAACTAAGCCATTTTTATGTATTAGATACTTAAATGTATTTAGATACTTAAAATGTTCATCACTGTTCTAAGAAAAGATTAAGACATCATCTATGTATACTAAGATATAATTTAGATATTGATTAATAATAGTTCATGATATTTTGAAATTCAGAAGTGGTATTTTTAAGCCCAAATGATATTGCATTCCATTCGTGATGTTTGAATGGGGTAAGTGGAAGCCGTCTTATAACGGTATGTTTCTTTAATTTGTATCTACCACTATCTTGACTTTAAATCAAACTTAGAAAATATCTTGGCTTCACCCAATCTATTAAGTAAATCTCTTTTATTAGAGATTGGATATCTAATCGAATTTAAAACATTATTCAATGTTTTATAGTTGATAACTAATCGAGGTTTTCCTCATTCTTTTACTGCAGCATTCATGACAAAATGTCATACAACTCCAAGGATGGTAGGAGTTTTGAATTAATTTTTTTATTCAGGAGATCATTGATCTCTAGTTAACATAATTATAAATACTCTCTATCATTTGACAAGGTATAGCCTTTGTCAAAATATGTTTTTCATCAAAAGTATCTTCATATAGTAAATACGCAATGTATTCTGCGATCCCAAAACGATATTATATTACTTTCATGTATTGTACTTTGAAAATCAATAAGTATCTCCTTGATTTTATGTTAAACCATAGGTTCTTGTAATCTATTTTAAATATATTTATTATTTATTTCTTCTTCTAGATAATTTATTTGAATATTTTTATTTTTATTTTTATTCATTTTGTTTAATATGATTTCTTTTGGGTCTAAAAAAACTAAAATGAAACTAATTTATTATAAAGCACGATATGCCCTTTTCATCTATTTTTTGTTATAGACATAATTTTTATTAAAAATGGAGTTCACAAAATAATATATTAGGTAAGATTTTTAACAAGAAGGAAATGTATTGATATGCAAATGTCATTTTTGCGTATTGTTGTATTTGTTATT